ACCCATAATTAGTTGGGGAGGGAAAAAAATTAATGCAATTTTCTACTCTTGCCCCCGGGCGCCAAAACCTCTAGCTACGCCACTGGATAGACCTACAAGGGAATGTTGGGACCAAAGTTTATAAATACCCAAAACTGAATTAATTTTTAAATACTTTTCAGTGTGACTGTTGTTTCTCTTTCTCTGTGTATCATTGATATGTTTGCAACACAATAATATGTCAAAATAATAATAGGCATAATAATGTATTACAATATGAGGCCTGTGGTTGACATTGTAAGTGCCAACGTATAAAATGTAACGTATCAAAGAATTAACCTCATTCTATTGACTAACAAAACGTGTGTATTTTAATACAAATGTCGCAATATGTAATTGCATAAATCCATTATAAGGAATAATACTTTAGTGAAATTGGAATGCGCTTAGCTTGTAAATCACCTGATTACACAGGGCGATGACCGTCTTCATGCTTTACTCCAATTATGTAATTCAAAAACAAGGTTTCGTTTGAGTTGCCTAGTTTCTATTTAATGACCAATCGTGGTGCATGACCCCAAATATCATAATTACTCTAGTTTTGTGTTTTGTTTTTTTTTTTGTTAGAATGTCTCGCCTGACCATGAACGTAAAGTCCCATAGGCAAAGCAATTGTAGAAATAGAACATATTATTAAGTCCACCCCGTGCTGAGGAAATTATGTTTAGGGCCTATCCAACATTGACAAGGCCGCAAAACCACCTTTCCAGCATTTAAATGTTTCTATTTTAAAGAATATGAAAGCTATACAAGGTCAAACCTTAATTTATTTTTCCAAATTGAATACCAGTATATTACGTATCGTTTAATTAATACAAATATTGAAATTAATGTGGTGCGGTAGCACTACTGAACATTATCAGGTAATGTCCAGTCATCGGTAAAGAATATATTTCATTTGGAATCAGAAATAATAGCATAATAATATTAGTAATAATTTATAATAACGCCCGACAACACATATAAAGTAATGACGTGCATTGGAATAACATAAATATTAAGGTGAGCAAAGAAGTAATACAAAGAGGAGCAGTCATAATTAGTATGAGGAGAGAGTTGGTCAGTACAATTCCTGTGGTCCACACAGAAAACGATCGCTAACAAATATTATAGGCTATGTAAGCAGTAAATATATAGAGAAATATATACCGGTAATAGACCTCATCTAAAACAGGAGGACCATTAAAATGTTAAATAAATATGCTTATTGGTGTAAATATACAGTAATATACATAGGCCTATAAACACATTTTACTACTGTACTGGTAATATATACACTATATAGGCCTAGGCACATAGGCCCATATATTATACAGTTTCGTGGTAACGACCACGAGAATCTTGATTTTATCTGTTTACTTTGGCCTATCATTATTATAGTTTATAATTTAACTTGCCGAAACTTGGTCTATGTGCAGTCGAGGAGGTCCGTAAAGATGTCTGTTCATGTGATAATATCGTTATTCCGTTTATAACATCAGACACGTAATTGAAAAAGCTCGGATCCATCACAAAGCATTCGTGGTCTTGGCCGTGTACGTGAAAGGTCCCGGGTTTGAATCCCGGTGGAGGTTGTTTTTATTTTCGATCTTTGGCAGATATTTCTATACATTCTGTGTAGGTCTGTGTGCTATGTTGATACCAATGACTATGTGCTTTGAGTCGTGTATTATTGCATTATTGACAAGGCGGAAATCATCAAATCCTGGTCTTAACGAAGAATTAAATCTTTATACAAAAAGTATTCAACATTTGACTGATAGACGACACGGCCACTTATTCCGTCCTAGTTCTATCCTACAGCGTTCATTCTTTGGCCAAGAGCTTAGTTCGATCCGAATTTAGTATTCGCATGTCGCAAAATAAGACCTGTTATTTAGCGCAACATCGTATGGAAGGTCAAAAATGTTGTGTTGGCCCAGCACAGTAATATTTCACAATTAAAGGTCTGGCCGGTCGGCATTTTTTTTAACATTATAGGGATAGGCATGGTTCTACAGCTCATTGCTAACCATAATTGTCCCCATAAATTGTTGATAAAATGTAACTACAGTTTTGAAAATGTTGGAGAATGCAACGCCACGACACGCGCGCAGCGGATAGTTTTAAGCTCGGTTTCCATAGAATCGCTCACCCTATCGGCGACAGTCGCCGAAAAATGTCGGGAAGGTTGGTTGAACCATGGAGGTATTATTGAGAAGGAGATCACTCGGCAAAGCCACGCGCACGCAGCGCTATGCAAATGAACCAAGATCAAAGTTGCCGCAGCGCATAAAGAACGTTTGCGCGATGCCTTTGGAGTCCCATGTGTTCCCCGCCATCAAATTTTCAGCAGGCATAGTTGACCAAAAAATTGAACATGACGAAATGGAGAGCACCTTCTTTTCTCAATGCGCTCTACATACTGTCAATCACTATGGCTGCGCAATCTTTTCTATTTTGAAGCTGATACATTTATCTCTCATAAAATATCAAACATATTAATATTTTCCACCAAGAAAAGTTTCGAAT